TTAGGTATGGAGTACTCTGTAGAAACATAGAATGTTTCCCCCATAATGCCAATTTTGTTTCTTAAAGTATTGTGTTTTTGTGGTAATGCCTTTAAACATTTCACAAGTTTGTGGAATTGCTGGAAATCTGGAAATTTTTTAATCAGTGAGTCAGGAAATGAGGGTAAATCTCTCTAACAGAGCCCGCATTGTATAAAAAAACCCACCAGGGATTTTACACCTTCCCCACTCTATCCAAAACTAAAAAGAAAAAGGTTTGGTTGGACATCCACTTTATCAATATTCACAATTATCATTTTTAAAAGCTAGTTAGCAATACTTTGATCAGTGGAATTGATCTAAATGCCCATATAGGATCATGAAGGAGTATGTTTTTCCTCCTGTGTGATAACATTGGCAGTTGCGTGGCTGGTTTTGTTTTACCTCTCACTGGACCAAAACTGCAGGAGCTATGAGAGGATGAACTTGATAAACCTGTCCTTTTTTTTTAAACCTAATTTACTATGTAATTATGGCTGAGAGGTATTCAGCATCCATTTGAATTTGTTTACAATGAATAGGTTAGGTTTTTGCACATGCTGCTACAAAGGACTATAGCGGATTAACTCTAAACCTTACTTATGTTACATATAAAGAAAAGCCAAGCACAATACATCTTAGTTTGACCTTTTTTTTTTTTTTTTGACCACCACTCTGCATGTTTTAAGTTAATGTTGCTCCAATGTCAGACCTATTGTTCCAGCTATTTCTTCTGGACAATGCTTTTCTTTCCTATGTAACTCTCAGGAAGCTTTATTGTAACATAAAACCTGGCCAAAAGTAGTATACAAATGTGTAATAATCATTCGCAGCCTTCCTGTATAACATAATGAGAGAGGGGCACTGCTGTTTTCTTTATTGTGATTCTTATATTTAGCCTTACACCCTACGGGAGCATGCATCACCTCCCTTTCTTCTCACCACTTCAGTGGCCCACTCACCATTTCCTGGCTTTTTTTAATGTTTCATTCTTGTCCTATGTGGCTCCTTCTCAACCTCTGTATTTCACTTCCCGCCACTGTGGCCCCTTCTCCCCGTACTTTCTTCTGTTTGACTGCTGCTCTGCTGTCCTTCGTTTCCTAGTGAATTTGAATGCATTTGAAAGGAATTATTTTCTCATTCTCCAAACTATCCCTCAACACCTCACCTCTCTCCATTTTACTGTCACTGCTTTCTTCTTCTATGTTCATGCTGTTCCTTTTCCAGTGATGCCCTTCTACCTTGTTTTCCTCACTCCTTTCTCACAGTAGCAAACTGCTCCTACTGCCTCCTCTTATCTAAGTCCCAACCAATACTGCTGACCTCCGTTACTTTTTTCTCCTTCAGTCTGTGATCTTCTCCTGCTGCCTTCTCTCTCTTCCCCTTGTGGTCTCACTGTCGTCTACTCAGTGCTCATCCATGATATAGTCCCATTGACACTGTGTCCTGCAGACTCCATCAGAAGGCCTACCTCTTCTCTGCTCTTCAATGTTCCATTCTTCTGATCTCCCAGCTTTCTCATATTTGTTGAATAACACAGGCACACTGTCCTCTTCTGAGCTTCGTTTTGCAATTCTCCCACCCCTCACTCTCCCAGCCCCCATTGAATTACCTGTCCTGTCCGTCTTCCCATTTTACTTTTTCTCATCTTACATTACACTTATCCATGCTGTCCTATGCCCACCAAGATAGGATCTTAATGCATTCTATGTCGCCTTTTCTTTAAGGGATAAGCCAATTTTGTGCACTTAAAAGTATTAAAGGTTACATTTTCATCCCTTGTTTGATTCGTACAGTTTTTGCCATGTGATATATTTTCTGCTTATCTGAAAAAAATGTAAAGTATTCATTGGTTGAGAACTGAAAAAATTATTTCCAAGAGGTGTGGGATTTGAGAATTCAAAGATTAAAAAAAAAAAAGGATTTACATATGAATGCAAAATGTATAGGCATCACTTTTAATAACAGAAATCCCATAGCTTTAATCCTTATGCAAACATCAGCAACAGTTAACACACAGAAAAGTGATATTTGTTTGAGGAAGGGTACAGTGAGTACATACCTAAAGCTAGAATAAAGACAGCTGGTTGGCTTTACATGCAGATTCCTAGAATGCGTAGAATAGAAAAAAAATTTAAGATAAATACTTACCACTTTGTTTAAAGAAAATGTGAAGTGGTTTTCTATACATTTTCTTTTCTCATTTATTATATTTAGAATTTGTATTTATAGTGAGGTTATTACATTTTCCATATGAATATTATTTAGTTTTCTATCCAGCCAGCAGGTGGAGCTTAAAGTGACCTTAAACCCTCAGATTTTTTAACATAAACCAATACTGTAATGTGTGCCTTACTGTAATCCATGGTTGTTTCCCTTCTCTTTGCTGCTCTTCCTTTTAAATCTGTATATCTTCTCATGCTGCACAGAACTTCTGTTTTGCAGCAGACTGCCTTGTCTCAGGAATGGACACACGGTGTCTGTGTATAGGTTTGTATAGGCTTGTAACCTGAGCCAGCACTACAGGAAGAGGCCCTGAGCTGAAAAGGAAAGTTCTCCCCAAGCATGGGAAGACATGAGGATTTAAAAGAAAGAGCAGCAAAGAGAAGGGAAACAACCATGGATTACAGTAAGGCACACATTACAGTATTGGTTTATGTTAAAAAATCTGAGGGTTTAATGTCACTTCAATGCTTTCACCTAGTGTTGAAATTTTAGTGCTGACACAGCTCAGAACCTCAAGCTGAAATTACACACATGTGAAGGGGTCAGAGGAGTGACTAACTTCTAATCAGACTGCTTTGTCTAAATGTTTAGTCAGTCAAAGACTGTCTCAAAGTAGGCGGCTACTACTCTGCTCTCTCTTTAGATAAGCTATAGTACTCTGTACATATCTAGTTCCAAACTATACATAAAAACAATGTTTTTAAAACATCACACATTGATAACATTATCAGGGTTATTCACAAAAGGGTGACGAGTTTGGAGAAGGCAGGAGAAGTGAACAATCTAGGACAACATAGCTGAACTGGAAAGTGAGCTGAATTGAAGAATGTTTCCAGCTGATCTTAATACCTAAAAAAAATAGTTGAAAAGCCTATGCATTCCCTTGAA